CATTCTCCCGTGGTAAACGTGGTCCCTCTCCTGCAACGAGAGGGAACCAGAGCCTTGGGGACTCTGGTGATTGGGGAAAATGACCCTCTAGTCAGAATGCCTACACCATCCATCATCCCCAGGAAATGACTGGACTGAAATCCCAGGGCTATCTGATCAACTCTGTGACTCAGTTTCCACCCCACTAAAAGAGGACAAAGCACACCACACAAATGCAGTGATCGGGTGGTGGATGCTTCCCACATAGGACAAGATCGTTGCAGAGGTCTCATTTCCCATCTAAGGGTGGATTAAAGAAGAGAGAAAGAGAGGGTGCTAAGGTAACCAAGGATGCCTAGAGATTGTGAAGTGCTGCCTGGAAGGAAGGGAGCAGCCAACTTCCGGAAGGAAAGGAGAGGGACAGATACTTCACAATTTGGGCTGGAGAAGTTTGACTGTGTGCCCTAGGAATGGTGTCTGATCGAGCAATCGCGCAGAAGTTGTGCATACGTACAACACACGCAGCCAACGCAGGTGCTGGCTTTGTCCCAAGCTGTGCTCCAGGGCTCAGGGCTGGCTGGGATCGCCCACACACACGTCAAGGCGTCCTAACCACCATGGACAGCTCACTGCTGCCCCAGCCAGCTTTGCGCAGCTCACTAACTCCGAGGGATCCACCCGCAGGGTGGATTCCACGCCCCACCGAAAAGAGTGTTCCACGCTCTGCAGTCCCCTGCGATCGCCACCAGACAAGTGGCGTGCAAATGGAGCGTGGCCGCGGGACTAAATAACCCTCTCCTTGCCTGCGACATGGTCTTTGCAGGAGCTACTGGGTTTCAAGCTTCAGACGGAGACCTCTGGCACAGAGAGCCTCCAAGCACTGCTTCATTTCCTCTGTTCTCCCTTGCAGCCCCTCACCCCGCCTTGGCTGTGCAGTGTGTGTTAAATGACATAAAGCAGGCAGCCCTAGACCTCTGGCAATACTGAACTTTAAGGAACTGGGGAGAGTAGTGGAAAGGAGCCCCTGGGCTGGGAGAAGGGGAACACCCCACCCAGCCTTTTCTCAGCCCCAGCCAACCAGGAATTTATCCTCACCATCTCCCTGGGGTTTATCACACTTCAGACCTGTAGCAAGACAGCCCAGCTCAGAGGATTTGGAGACTAGCCTGAGCCCCTAAGTCTTTGGCAAGAACAGAGGGCCATGGTGCATTAGGCTAGGGACTCTGGAGGGGCTGTGACATCACCAGGCACCCAGCATCCCCAGCCCCTGTGCAAGATGAAGCGGAGAGAGAATGCCTCAGTCATTCTGCTCTGCACAAAACTTTGGTCATGGGGAACCTAGAAGCGTAGGGGGATGACCAGGGACGCCCAGGAACCTTGGGAAAATGAAGGCAAGGGAACCCAGTCCTGCAGCTTCCACATAGTCTTCTGTTGAGTCCTGAAAGCCAAGCCGCCTCCTCCCTGGAAATGGAGGTGTAAGCATGTTGCATTCTGCTGCTGTAACAACACCCCCGCCCCTTCCCCACACACCTAAGATGTGTTCCCTACGGCACTTGACCTCTTCTTGCTTTATCTGCTCCATAAAGTCAGAGGAAGCCAGGGAAGAGGTCATGCTCTGTCATGGCCTTAGTTCTGACAAACAATCCAGGAAAAGCAGACAGGCCCCAGAGCCATACACCCAGCAGCTAGAAGCAAAAGCAGGCGCAAGGCCTCACCTACATGCCTATATCTGGAAGTGCTCCTGCCTGAAATGGTAGGCGCCTGATGCAGGGGCCGCCCCAAGGACGGACTGCAAATTGACTGGTTATACTAGGGGAAGCGAGGCCTTCTAGGCAACCCAGTGGGGCCACTGGGTTCACATGGAAGCGGGCCATGACTAGAAGTTTCTACAGGATGGCAAGAGATGTTCTGATTGTGGGTTGTCCTTTGAAAAGGGGTGTCTTCGAAGCCTCTTTGTGGTCACAGGCAAGTCCAGAGCTGTCTGCTCAGGGGAACCAAGGACTTGACTCAACAAAGGGCTTCCAGTGACTAGAGCCCAAATGATCTCTCTCTCTCTCTCTCTCTCTCTCTCTCTCTCTCTCTCTCTCTGTCTCTGTCTCTGTGTGTGTGTGTGTGTGTCTCTGTCTCTCTGTCTCTCTCTCCATCCCTCCTCTCCTCTCCTTCTTCCTCAAATATGTCTTGCTAGCCATGGGTGTGAAGTTACACAAGTGTGGGACCTCAGGAATCCGTTTTCCTAAGATCGTTTCATCTCACATCTTCTTGGGCCCCACCTAGAGTGTGTCTGAAAGGGTCAGTGTCTCCCAGGTGGAGAAAACAGATCATCGTCCAGGTGGGATCCACTTTTCTAATAACAGGAGGATTACAGCAACCTGGCACACTGCTCAACCCCTCCCAGGAGCAGCCTTGCAGGTATTTCCCGGCCCCACCCACTACAAACTGATCATGGGCCAGTGCCTTCCTCCTCTATGGATGCACAAACCTCACGTCCCTTTTCCTTTTGGCAACCTTGAGGTCAGCTGACCCTACCTCCTCCTGTAACCAGAGCTGAGATCCCATGAAAACAAATGAGGACCCCACTGAAGTGATAACTTCTATTTATCATTAGCAAAGTGGCCAGAGGAAAGAAAGGATGTGTGGATTTGTTTGGTTTTATGGGTTTTAGAAGACCCGTCTCCTTGGAGCTGCTGGCAGACAGATGTGAAATCTTGTTGCTAATCCTAAATCTAAGTGCATGATTCAAACAGGTAAATCTAATATTTATTTCTTTGCTTATTATTTAACCCAAAAAAGAAGACAGAGGAAGACAAAGTACAAAGGCAACTTTGAGTTTTCTGTTTGTTTTTTTCCGAAGAAGAAATATGCAGGTAACACCTGTAAACCGGTGGTATCATGAAGTTAAGGGGTGTGGGACCCACACTGACGCTGGGGGTGGAAAGGGGAGTGTAAAGATTGCTGAGGGTTCCCATACGTGTGGACCAGCAGAGACAGACCTTCAGGTCCTCCTGTTTGTCACACTGTGTTTGTGTGACAGGAAGTGACGTTCACACCTGGGCAGACACATGACCTGTTCATGAGCCTGCAGGCTGGGTTCCCACCATGCTTCCTTACTGCCTGTGTCCTCAGCAGGATTAGGAGTTGGACTATAATATCAGAAAAGACCCTTTGCGGTGTCAGGTAGATGCTGAGGGGAGTTTACTCACGAAATTCAAATTCAATTCAAAAACTTCAGCAAGAAACGAACAAGGGCCACCCGGAGGGACAACCTGCTTTCTAATAACCAAAAAGACCTCTCAGAGGAAGCTTTTAGTTCATTAAAGACCTGATTTTACAGAAAAATATTTCTAAGAGACCGACAGGCTCTCCCTTCTTCCGCCAGAACTTAAAGGAGGTTGAAACTCAAAGAAAAGGCTAGTGTTAGGAGATAAGGTTACTTATTTGTTCTTTCTCTATATTTTCTCTATAGCTTCTTTTTTCCTGTAGAGTAGAGGAAATTCTTTAAAAATGGATGATGTTTTTCCATTGGCATCAGAAAAATGAGTGGGCGACAGAGTAGAGAAAGGAGGGAGGGAGAAGAGGGTCAATTTTCTCTAGTTAGAAAAAAAAAGCACCATCAAGCAAAGCAGTATACAGATCTCAGCCGTTAGCACACAGTGTGTGCCAGCATGCAGGATGTATATACAACGTAAGCCACTTAGTATTTTGAATCTAGATTTTGTTTCAACCTTTTATTGAGAGAGGACAGATTTTTTTTTTAAGTCAGAGTAATTTGGGACTTGGCAAAGTAACTTTGGATCTTTCTTTTCTTGGTGTGGAAGCAAATACTATCATTTTAATGTTAAAGAGTCTCAAGCACCCTAACAGGATGGCTCCTTTGTGAGCCCCTTCCTTTCCTCTCAAGGATCTCCCCCATTTCAGCTCTCACAACTAGGGCTCCAACATCTTTGGGGGGAGGGGAACTACCACAAAGTGTTCCAGGTTCAAAGGTTGTCTGTTCACACCATGCAAACAGGTCTAACAGTTACAAATTCTTAACCACTTAAAGGAAGTTCTGGAAATTCCCAGTTTTCTTTTTGAGGTGGGAGGAAGCCAATTTTTTTTTTTTAAACAAGTATGAAGTTTAAAGGAACCGAGGGAGGGAGACAAGGGCTTCTGATGAGAGGGGACCCCACCCAAGACAGCTGAAAGTCTTAACTGCTGGCCTGCAGCAGTGCCGCAGGGGAGGGGATGGGTGAGGAGTTCATGCTTCGCCCCTCCTAGAAATCTGTAGAGCGTGGGGGGTGGGGGTGGGGGGATGGACAGCCCAGGCCTGACAACGGTCAGGCTCCCAATCATCTTAAATGCCTGAATCACAGGAGCCTCCAAGAGGCACAGATGAAACCTACCAGCAGGCCTGTCTAGAAGGCAGACTTCTTTTGAGTGGCTCCTGCATTCATTTTGCAGGATCTAGGACCTGGGGGAACCGGTATCCACACCCACCTCGCTATACGCTTTCCTATGTGATAAGACCCAGGAACTCACAGCTTTCTCCCAAGTCCAGCAGAACCGAGAAGCTGAAGCAGCTGGGAGAGGGTGAATCTATAGCTGGGCATACAGGAGGTTATCAGAGGAAGGGTGGGTAAGGACTCAGTGCACACTCCCAGTCCTCTAAAATCCCCAAGGGGGTCTTCATTCTTGCCTATGCACTCTTTCTTGAACCCACTCCAGATGTGTTGCCCCCAACCCTTCCCAAACAGCGAGGCCAGAAATCGCTTTTGCTCTCCTGGATGCCAGCAGATGGTCCCCTCCCCAGGAGAGGCCAGGCCAGGCAGGAATGCTGGCTTGCAAGAGTGCGAGCTTGCAGGCGAGCTTGGGACTCCTGGGATTCTCAGGCCACCGGTTCTCCCTCTTTGCCTGCTCTTGGCGACCTGGGCTCCTGGACCTACAACTCAGGCGGCAGCAGGCCGGGTCACGAGGCGGAAAGCTTCAGATCGGCCCACGCTGGGCTGGGGCTGGGGTGGGGCTCGGTGGCTCGGGCTCCCCTGTGTTCCCCGCCCCCGCCGGCCAGCTCGCCCTTGCTCTGCCGGCGCGCGTTCCTAGGGCGCCACCTCTTTGCGACTAGCTCATTTCTCAGCAGGTTGGCCCCAGAGCGTGTGAACCTTTTCGGGCTGGGCTCGCAGCTCCTCTCCAACCTGCACCGCCCCAGCTGGGCCGCTCCGCCCCGCCGCCGGAACCCGCCCTCACGGCCACCTGGCCCTCGCATCCACGACACGCGCGCCTGCAACTTGTTCAAGGGCGTTGTGGAATCAACTTTCCGGAAGCAACCAGCCCACCGGAGGAGGTAGACCGACAGCTATGTATATATACGCGCTCTCCCGCAAGTGGCTGTGCACCCAGAGGCCCGGGTCGCAGGGCAGTTGACTCCCGCGGGACACTCGCGTTTGAGGAAGGGGTTTACCCTGCCCCAGGAACCCCAGACTGCTGCCGCCAAGACTAATTAGGCATTGCTATGGGAGTCACGGCAACGCGCCACGCATCCCCGACGCCTGTGTAAAACGCTCGGGTTTTCGCTCTTCTTTCAGAGGAAGCTCTCCGGTTCCTTTTTCCCTTCTCGGGTCCCTTTTTGCCTGTGTGGTTTGGGAGAGGCACAGTTGGAGGCGCTGATTCCTACAGAAGTAAGTGTTCAGGGGCTTAGAGAAACTTTTTTTGCTTTCTTCTTCTTTTTCTTGTTTTCTTTTTCCTTGTAACTTGTGAGATGCTCTCGACATTGGAGAGTCTGTTGGGAAGTCACCGGGCATCCAGAAGAGGGAGCGGGGCAGTGTGAGGAAGAGATGAAGAGCGGGGACTGACCCTCAGGTTCCACTCTTGCAGGTCCCAAAGCCAGCGAGCGGCACGATGCTGCGGAGGCTGGTTCAGCAGTGGAGCGTCCTGGTATTCCTGCTCAGCTACTCCGTGCCCTCCTGTGGGCGCTCGGTGGAGGGACTCAGCCGCAGGCTGTAAGTACCCAGTCTTCCCGGGGCGCAGGGTAGGGTAGGGGAAGGCAAGTACCAGAGGTGGCCAGGCTGGAGCCATGCCGATGCCCAGGGCTCGGAGCCATCCCTGATGCTCCCAGCCTGAGTTAGACACCCCGGGTACCTGCTACCAAGAGGCTGTGCCCAGGAGAGTCATCTGAAGAACTGGTGAGACACCTAAACAGGCAAGAGACAGCTTGATGTTTCTTTCCATAAGAGGGAGCCTCTCCCTGAATCTCTGCCCGCAAGCTCTCTGCCTTCAGGGAACCACCAAGGTTCCTTTACCGGCCCAGCAGAAAGTTGAGGGATTCCGGAGCCGTTTGTGTGCTTGTGTGCTCGCGCGTGGGTACGTCTAAATGTGGGTGGCAGTTTGTGTGTGGAAAGCAAGAACCTTGTGTCTAGTTTTATTATGAATGACATAATTTTAAGCATATAAAACTGGACTGTGTTACATAACGAATCATATTATATAATTTAGTAGTAGCAACTTTTCAGTGGCAAACTGCCAACTTTAGTATCGATATCATTCAGGAAGGCTGGCGTACTTGCCTCCAAAATGGACTTTAGGCGTGGAAACTTTCTTTTTCCTGGAATTATTACTAGCGGTTCTTTAATCCAGAGTCGAAATATCTGCATTGTGGACTGAAAGCTTGTGTTTGGACATTCTCGGTCAATTTTTTTTTCTTTTAAGAAGAGTGATTTTTATTTTGAGATACGCATACATCTAACTACACCAGCAAAATATCCCAGCAGTGTTTGGGAAGTTGTCAGCGCGCTTGGGTCTGGCTGTCTTCGCAGTATATTGGGTACAGCAGTTCATCGACTTATATATAACACCGTCTCTGGGCCGCTCTCTGAGCAGCAGACTCCGTGTTCAGGATGGGAAAACCATAAAGTTGAAGAACTGAACAGAGGTTGGTTCTGGAGAAGGCATTAAGGAGGATTTTCTCTCCTCACAATAGAAACAGCAATATCTACCTCGTATTTACAGGAGGTTCCTGGTGCTTCGTGTAAATTCCCGAGGGTGTACAAAAAGGCAACTGTTCTGTGCCTGCTTTGGCTCTATTCTTATTAGTTCGGCAGAAAATCTTTAAATGAAATTACTTTAGACATGTCTGGATCTTGGCACCAAAATGAAAATCTATTATGAATCTCCTAAGGCGAGTTGTGTAGAACATTGTACTGGAGATAAAGCAGTATTGTGTCCCAAGAGTGCGTGTTCTGCTGCCTCTTTCTGAAAATTGTCTTCAAACTTTTGCTCATTTTGAGACTTGTGTGAAATTCAATTACCTAACATCCAAATATAAATATAGATGAACTGGATTTTTTTTTAAAAAAAAAAAAGCACACTTACATACTGTATTTATTTGGCTAAGAATTTCTGTCTTGGAGCAGAGCCAACTTTTTCTTTAAAGTTGCTTAATACCTATTTTCTCTTTTGAGAAAGAGTAAATGAGCCATGCTTGAGTCTACAATGACAGCGTAAAAATAGCACTAGGCTGTCCTTATAGCTATTTTTAACTCTTTCTTTGTTGCACCTTACGAAACTACCCGTTTGTCAGCCAGGGACTCTGCTCCGGTTCTGTTGGTAGGCGAAATATAATATTTAGTTAAGTACTCACACTTAGCTACGGTTATAAAAACTACGAGATGCCCACACACCTAAGGGCTAATATAGCTCATCACATCGCAGCTGAGGTTTGTCAAGGAGTTGAAATCATTGGCAAATGACTTTTTTTTGTTAAATCATCACAGTTAAACAGATTTTTAAAAACTCATTATTATTATTATTATTATTATTATCATGGCCACCAAGCGACAGCATGTTCTGTGTGCTGGACAAAACATTTATCTACTGTTCCCAAGATCGGGCTAGCTCCTTGAAAGAAATTTTAACTTACCATCAAACCATATTAATATCCAGTTTCAGGGACACTGTTTAAGAAGTATTGATTTCTTAAAGCTAGAAATCGGTACCTTTTAGAGACAGAAGACTATTGTCATAGTGTGCTTCTTAAGCTGTAAAGGGATATTAATGATTAGTTTGTGACCAAGTTGGCAACTATTAAGTTGGGGTGCAGGGATGCTGTGATGAGGATGGATGCAGTGGCGAGAGGGTCCTCCATGTCTGGCATAGCACGGGAGCCCCAGGAGACGGAGAAGACTGGGGTATCCTTGGCTGTCTTGCTTAGGCCAGATTGGGTCTACTCGGACTGAGTCAGAGGGTTGGAAGGGAGCCCTGTGAGTCACACCAGCTCTGACACCCTAACTCTGTGTCCTCTGTGGACCACAGAACTTCCTCAGACTCCTAGTGCGCCCCCAATCCTCACATCAGCACCCTCAAGCTGCTGCGGGCAGAAAAATTTCCATGACTGCTGCTCCCATTTCTTGATAGCTCCTCAGAACTTCATTGCTTTCCTTGGAAACTCCCTTGAGAGGGTTTGGGTTTTTTTTCTTTCTATCAGAACAGCTATTTTGACTAAAGCCCAAGTTATCTCTGTTAAACATTTTGCCCAAATTTTTATCTTTTTTAAACAATCATCAAAGATGATACAGTATAATATACTCACTTTTCTCAGGTCTGCAGTAAGAGCCACCATGCTATGAAATGTTTGCAGAATTCATGAGTACAGACAATGATTGATGTCGTATTTGCAGCTGAGGTGTTTCAGAGTTGTCTACACTGAAAACCCCTTCATTTATTCCATACCACCAAGATCTATGCTGTTAATTCATGTCAATCATCTGAGTCATGATTTTGGAAATAGATCATTTCATGGACCTTATTTCCCCTGTTCTTCCACTCCTCTAAAGCAATTTCTCAGACAGATATGTGTAGCCACAGTACTTCAATGGCAGTTATATTTAAGATATTAAGTAGTTTATATAACTGTGTGTAAGATTAGCATCTAAGAAAATGTATGTTCTCTAGGCTGAGTGAGCGGCTCAGATAATAGAGTGCTTGCTTCACATGGAAGAATCCCTGTGTTCAGTCCCCAGCATCATGTAAACTAGGCATGGTGGTGTACCTTCTAATCCCAGAACTGGAAAGGTAAGGGCAGGAAGATCAGAAGTTCAGGGCATTCTCACGTATACAGCAAAAAAGAAAAAATGCACATCAGAAAAAATTTTAGATATGTTTTCTATCATGCTAACAGTATCTTCTCAAAAGAAGATAAAAAACCTTGCACCTCATGGGAAAAATACCAAACACCACACTACATGAATTTTATAAAACCCAAGGATAGACTATTGCTGCATTTCCCATGAGAACCATCCTGGGAAAGCACAGCTCTTGAGCTGTGAAGGTGTCGTGACTCACGGCTGCCAGGCTGGCCAAGATGACAGACACCCATGCCAGTCACAGAGGAAGGGGCAGTGGTGACTTGATTCAAACAGAAAGGCTTGGCTCCAACTTCAGATAGAATTGAACTGTGCAATAAATAAGCGTGGACATTAAAAGTAAAACAGCCAGGAATTGGGAAAGAAATAAAAGTCTCTAGAATGATTCATGATCAGCAAAAGTTTCTTTTTAATGTAACATTTTGTTAAAAGATACTTACTAACCTGCAGTAGTTTGAGAACCACCATTAGAGTCATCCTGTCTTTAGAAAATGGTATTAGAGGATATAAATACATTGTACCCAAACCTCAAATCTGTAGCCTGTTAAAAGTTTCCAGATTACTAACTGTTACCAGAGTAAGAAAATTTTAATCTGTTCACATGTGGCACCTTCAGAAAGGAAGAGAGCCTCCTTCATGCCTCATTTAAACCAGGCTCCTGTTAAATTCCTTTCCATGAAGTCATGTCTTTTTTTTTTAATAAGCTATATTGCTTAAAGTCAGTCCCCATACCAAAATACTACCAGGAAGCTGGCATCTTGATCCCACCCCACCCCCAACAAGAAACCAAGCTCTGAGAATCCTACCTCTCTACTTCGGTGATGAAAACGACTTTCAGTGGAGGTGGTCTTCAAGAATGATGATCCTTTTCCATGCCGTCGGTCCACTGTCATGAGCTTGCTATGCTGTGCCACACACTTCTTGTTTCCTCTCTGTGGTGCTTGCTTCTGCATTACTTGGGCTTGAGAAAGTGTTGGGGGTCTTAAGAAGATAGTCTTGACTTTGAAGAACCAGAGCCCTGCTTTATGAAAATGACATCCTCTCCACACCTCATCTTTCCCATCTTTAAAATGGGCCTAATGACGCTGGTTACTGTTCCCCTGCTTCTCTGAGGGGTTGATGAAGTTCTATTAAAAAGACATGAAGGCCTCAAACACTCCTGTGGGAGCAAAGGAAGAATGCTCATGGAGTGGGCCTGCGAAGTACACTCGGACACTTCTGAAGAGAAGCCTTTTCAGACGGCTGGTCCGAGGGTGGAGGCTGGGGTTTGGTCTAAAGCCTAATTAAAAAACGTTAGATGATGGTGCGCACCTGTGAGCCCAGCACTCAAGAGGCTGAAGAAGGATTTAAGGCCAACCTAGAATCCATAGAGTCTTCCAGGGCAGCCTGACTACATAGTAAGACCCTACCTTAAAAAAATAATAAAAAGAAGGAAAGGAAAGAAAGAAAGATAAGAATGTGTAAATTGAAGTGACAAGAGCATTGTGTGTCATCCTAAAATATAGATGGCCTCAAACTCAAGGCAATTCCCCTGGCTCAGCCCCCCAAGCACTGGAATTACAGTATCCCCCATCATACTGAGCCCCTGAGATTTAAAAAGAAAACAGTAATGCACCAAAGGAATAGAGGGGTCTCATTGGGGCAGAGGAGTCCAGAGACAGACCTCCTGCTGCTCCTCGAGGGGAAAACTCACCTATTTCTATTCCCTCCTTTTCCTCCACCTGCACATACAGGTTCCTGGTGACTAATCATACATGTTACACTCTTGCATCTGGGCCCCCTGGTTGCCTAGACAACCCTTCGTTTTCAATTCTCCCTCAGTCTTCTTGCCTCTTTCGCTCACACTTGCTGTGTTCAGCTGTTTGTGCTATCAAGGTCTTACTGTGTGTGTGTGTGTGTGTGTGTGTGTGTGTGTGTGTGTGTGTAAGCTTGGAGGGTGCTCTCTTAGAGCAATTCATTTGCATCTCCTGGGATGAACTCTATCCCAGAAAAGCAGGCAGCTGGCCACCTGGGTTTGTTTCTCCAACAGAATTCTGGGAAGTGTGATCAGATTAGGGTCCATCTCCTATTTAGATTTTCTGCAGCAATACGTCAGAAGAATTTTTTATTTTATTTTTTTTTTTGTTCTGTATTTCTGGTGCTGAAGACTGAAGCCAGGGCCTTACACATTCTGAACAGGGGTTTTGTGACTGAGCCTCATCTCTGTCACGGCATTTTTCGGCAGGCATGGGAACTGAATTTGAGGACCCCTTTACTTTATACAGATGACCCCCAATTATACTCCTGTTGCCACCATGGTGAGACTTGGGGGCTGGCTCTTAGGTCTCTACTTCCTATCGCCCTCCCTTCACTACTCCAGAAGTCACTTACTCCGCAGCTTATTCCTGTAAGGACCCGCTAGCAGGGCCCTGCGGACTCGCTGACCCTGCCTTCTCTCCTGACAGAAAACGCGCGGTGTCCGAGCACCAGCTACTGCACGACAAGGGCAAATCCATCCAAGACTTGCGCCGCCGTTTCTTCCTCCACCACCTGATCGCGGAGATTCACACAGCCGAAATCAGAGCTACCTCGGAGGTGTCCCCCAACTCCAAGCCTGCTCCCAACACCAAAAACCACCCTGTGCGGTTCGGGTCGGATGATGAGGGCAGATACCTAACTCAGGAAACCAACAAGGTGGAGACCTACAAAGAGCAGCCGCTCAAAACACCCGGGAAGAAGAAGAAGAGCAAACCCGGGAAGCGCAAGGAGCAGGAGAAGAAGAAGCGAAGGACTCGGTCTGCCTGGCCAAGCATATCTGGGAACGGCCTGCTTGAGGACCCTCTGCCTCACACCTCCAAAACCTCGCTGGAACCCAGCTCAAGGTACCAGCCCCTGTGTTCAGCAGGGTTCCCTGCCTCCCTCTGCCATGGTCCAACAGACCCAGAACCTTCTCCAATTCTGTATCTCGATCCGTGGCTGCATGATTTAAAAGCAATATAGGCCACACTCCCAGCCCTATTCATTATTAGTCCACTAAACAATTTAATTTCCCTGTACCCTCCCTCCTTCCCAATCAACTTTCCTTCCTTACTTCTAGTATTTCCATTCCTTTACCTTCCTCCTTCCCTCCTCCTCCATCCTCTCCCCTCCCCTCCTCTCCTTCCCTTCTTTCTGGTTTTTGCTTCTTCCTTTGTTTTTCCTGAGGTAGGTTCTTCCTCATAGCCCAGACTGACTGTGAGCTCAGAGTCATCCTCCTGCCCTAACCTCTCAAATACTGACACAAGAAGCATTCCCCGCCAACAGAGTTCTAGCAATTCCATTTCTTACCTGTGCTTCTGAACCTAGTGAGCCGCCTCATGGTTGACTGGAAATCATACATCTCCCCATGGCAACATCTTAGAAAACCTTCCTAACGTTTTTTTTTTATTCTTTCTTTCCTTCTCTTCAAGGAAGAACTCAGAAGGCCTTGATAGTCTCCACCAACATGGCGAGGCAGTTTCTCACATAAGCACTTCTGAGGCACTCACACGATATTTAATGAAGTGTATTTCATTACATTTCTGACTTATTTTGACATAAACAAATTAAGTTATTTTTTGGAGCACATGCTTTGAATTTATTTGATTTTTAATCACATATAACTCTGGTTTCTACCAGCTCAAGGAGAAGGAACGCTTTCTGACATGTTTCAGTCTCAGATCTAAGTTTTCCTCGTGTTCTTCTGAACCAGCAAGTTGGCATGACTTCCCCTAGTAACACAGTAAGAAGTAAGGTGACATCACATCTCAAAGCTGGCTTACCCTTCACACACAGATGCAGGAGCTCAAGGCTCTCCAGGTTAGAGAGCCAGGTAACTCAGGGTTAGGTCTTAGGTCCAACATCAGCATCCACCACCTTGAGCGAATGAAGGCTCGGTCTAAGACTCTCGTCTTCTGGGAAGAATCTCCAGGCTCCTGGAGTTAAGTGAGAGGCAGATGAGATTACATGGCTACAAGTACCTACTATCACAAGGCACATTCACAAACACATGCACACACACAAACACACATACAGACACACAAACACACGTGCATGCATAAGACAAACACACGAACACGCACAAACACACGCACATGCCTACTTTCACGCTGGCCATGTAATATGTTTTATTTGGCTTTTCCAAATATGTACCTTTAATAAAGAAGAATTCAGAAAGAAAGATCCCAGTAAGGCCTAGAGAGGGTGAAAATTTGGTCCTCAAAATGTTGTTGTATCTTCCTTTCTCTTTGGGGAAACCAATTGCTTGAAATGCTATTGATTCCCACTTTTGTTACTCTTTAACTCAGTTGGGTCCCTGTCAGTTTAATAAGATACATTTTAGTCAGTACAATATACAATGAGTGAATTTCGAAGTATTATTTATTTATTTAATTTGGTTTACTGCTAATATCCATCCAGCCCAAATATCCATCTTAAACTCTCCTTTTCTTCACAGTTAGGGGCTGTTTAACTATTACGACCAACACTACTGGGGACGAGTCGTCCCCTTAAGACACCCAACCCGTTGACAGCTTTTCTTCCTCTGCGCTGCCCTGTGACAACTCCAGCACCGTCCAAAGCTGTTGACTCTCACACCCACACACATCCGCCTGCCAATGACACACTCAGTTCCTTCCTACCCTGAAACCGTTTCCCTAGAGATGAGTGTGTGGTCATCGCTGAAACAGATGAGCTGCACAGAGAGCCAGCCCAAAAGCTCCAGCGCACCCCCTCAGCATGCTGTCTCTGCAGTCATCACACTAATGAGGAAATGCGTGAACCCCAGCCCCAGCTCTGAGTCATCGCAGACAGAGCAATGGTCACTCGATTTATTCCCAGGCTTCGCATCATTGGAAATAAACTTTTATGTAGAGTGGAGTAATACACACCTGTTATCCCAGTACTTGGGAGGCTGAGGCAGGAGGATTGCAAGCTTGAGACTGGTCCAACATATACAGTGAGAACCTCGCACTGTATACCAAAATCCAGTACCAGTCTCATTATGAATGTGTAAAGACAGCTCCAAAGTGACAGGTGTTTTCATACGAACACAGCATGTTCTGTTTAACTCCACCTCCTGTGTGGGTCCACAGCTCATCTCATTGTGTCCGGAGCTCCAGCCTAGCTCCCCCTCCAGGCTCTTCTCCCAGCCGCTTTCCCCACATGCCAACTGGCCGGCAATGGCAGCTCTCCCTTTCTGGCTGACCATGGTTAGATATTCAGGCCCTCCTTTCTGTCTGTGCCACGCTGGCTTTTCAGTTGGATCTAGGGCTCTAGCCATTGCTGAGGTTCCTGAGACAGGTACCCACCGAATCTCGCTCTCGTTTTTACTGCAGGCTGTCCCTTCTGTAAGGGAGACTAACCTCTTTCCTCCCCTTCCTTGTCTTCACAGGACGCATTGAAACTTTCATCGCAGATCTTCCAAGGACACGTTACAGGATTTTGTAATAGTAAACATATGGAAAGTATTAGACATATTTATTGCCTGTACATACTGTAAATGCATTGGGATCAAACCGTCTCCCCAGGAAACTGCACATTGGTCATGTGAATATTTTTTCTTTTTTTGCCAAGGCTAATCCAATTATTATTATCACTGTTACCATAATTTATTTGTCAAGTGATGTATTTATTTTGTAAATGTATCTTGGTGCTGCTGACTCTGTCTGTGTTTTGTAACATAATGCACTTTAGGTTTACATATTGAGGATGTTGATGAATTTAACGTGAAAAAGTGTCTATTTTGTGGTTGATTTTAATGAATGCTGAAATATAATGATCTAGATTGATTTCCTTCTGTGCATGTAAAAATGGCAATATTTTAAATTTGTAAAGAATGTCTAATAAAATATAATCTAAATACAACAGGACTCACAATGAGAATTTTATCTTTTAAGGTTTCTCATCTAAGGAACACAATATCATTTTTTTAAAAAAAATTCTACTTGAATATAGTCCTAAGCTTAAAATGCTGATATGGGCATTTATTCCAACATGCCCACATTAGCTTTTAGTTAGAAACCACTCAAAGTGTACTTTGTCCAATATTTCAGTTCAAGTCAATAGAATATCCAAACAACCTGGACTTCAAGCTGAAGTGAAGACAAGAAAGAGCAGAAAATCAACAGAGAAGTCAGGAGAAAAGGTCAAAGAGGGCTGTCCAGAGTGAAGACCCAGACAGAAGAGGGCCCAAGACTTCAAGACTCTGAATAAATCTTGCCAATGTAAAGTTTAGTTTGCAAGAGTTTGCTCTCACTCATAACAGTAACAAGGATCTGCTCGGGAATTCTGTGGGTTAGGGTTTCCTAGTAGAGAAAGAAGAGAGAGCGGTTTGGAAGCTGCAGGACGATCAGAAAGGCCTCAGAGCTGAGGGCCTCTGTGCTGCAGTTTCTGCCCCTGGAGTCTCTGCATGTCTACATGCATGTCAACAGCACACTTGCAGCACACAGGGAGGCTTCTCCATTTGAACATCACTCTAGCTCCCTCTACATTCAGGTGAAATCGGGTTCTGTTTTGTTTTGTTTTGAAAAACAGAGTCCCTCTGTGCATCCCTGGCTGTCTTGGAACTCACTCCACAGACTGACTAGACTGGCCTTGAACTCACAGAGATGCATCTGCCACTGCTTTCTAAGTGCTGGGGTTGAAGGTGTGCACCACCACCACCTGGCTTGAAACTGTGTTCTTTAACCATGTTCAGCATAAGGCACACCAGCAAAATCCAAACCCATACTCTATTAACCAGACACACACATGCTCGGGAGAGATCTGCCAATGCCAGGCTCCTATTCAGTGTCTATAGGAAGCTTGGGGGCGCTTAAGAACTAAAATGCAGTAACTTCCTTCAGGGCTCTTCCACACTAATGCACTGATTACACAAATCAACACAACACTGTCTACAAGAATTTATGAAAAGTTGCAAAACCCATGTGTATTCTAAAAAGCAAAAAGAAAGGAACATGTGGAGATCATAACAGGAGCTGGACAGGCTTTGTCAATACCGTTTCTCAGTTTCACAGCCTTCAAAACAAGATTCTTATTATTATTTGTAAGATTCCAAACCTCCATTGACAGGTGAATAAGAGATTGTGTGCTTATTTCCACTTACGGTTGTGTCAGGGATGGCTCGCATCAATGGGGTATTCAGAGGTTAAGGGATGGCATATTAGCCCTGCATAATGCAAGTGCCTGGAACATTTCAACAAACAGCTAAAGACCATCCTACAACACTCCAGGTGAGAGTCTAAACCTTAGAAAGACTGCACCCAATCTTTGTATGTTGTTCCCAAGAAAGATGTGCTTCTAAGTCAGACGTAGTGGCACATACCTGTCATCAGAGCACTTGGGTGGTAAAGACAGGCAGATCTCGTCTAGGAGTTCGAGGCTTGCCTGTGAGTTCCAGGACAGCCAGGAATCATAGAGGAATACTGTCTCAATATCTCAAAATGGGGAGAGAGAGAGCGAGAGAGAGAGCGAGAGAGAGAGCGAGAGAGAGAGAGAGAGAGAGAGAAGGGAGGGAGGGAGGGAGGGAGGGAGGGAGGGAGGGAGGGAGGGAGGAAGGAAAAGGAATAAAGAAAAATGTGTTCCTGGGATACTTACTTGGCAAATACTCAGATAACGAGGCACAGTTGGCTTTAAAATGCAAGCCATTCTGAAGTTTATCTTCCTAAGAACCCCAGTGCTAGGAGCAGGAAAGAGGCAGTGTATGACCTCCTGCCACCCGTTCTTAGCAAAGCCTTATCAATCCCAGCATTATCTTTACACAACACTGCCTTCCCTGGCAGCAGCGCAGCATGAAACTAAAGAATGATATGATAGGGAGACAAAGGAACCAGGATTACCTTCAGAAAAATACAAATACAAAATTAAGACTAAAAGAAATAACATAAGTAAATGTAGCAGATTACATTCTTCATCACTATTGCTTAGCCTAGACCTAGACAGTATTCATAAAGCGGTAGCAATTTAGGTAAAGATGAAGTTCCCTAAGTACTCTACAATTAGGACAAGAAAGCTAGACCTGACGATGGAGCACGTAATCTTTATCTATCTGATGTTAATTAAGCACCAAATGTATAGTTAGGTCCAAAAGACACACACACACCTAATGACACTTGCATGTAAAAACTGTATATTAACCATCACTGTGAGACATGGCTTCATTACTGGGCTCAGATGTTCTTAAAAACAAAACAAAACAAAAAAAACCCTCAGGTTCACAGTATCAGCTCAGAAGAAAGTTAAAGGCAGCACTGGCCTCTCCCTTTCTTGTTACAAGTGTTAGTTTGACCAACTGACAGTGTCAATCTTTCCAGAATTTTCATGTAAAGAAAGTGGACATTTTCTTAAGAGAAGGCAAGACTGTCTACAGTAATGTTTAGGGTACCTCTGCCTGTTCACAATGCTGAACGCTCAATGCAGCTTTAAGGCTCATGAAGCATGGTATGTCTACTTCGCACAAGGACAAGGAAAGTCAATGTTTCCAAATCCAAGTTGCTCTAATACCCCATGTAATGGGCTCAAGAGGAAGACAGGATCAAGTCTGACTTTATTCTCTATCCTGTACCTGTCTATTAACAAACATTGAACCACCCTTGACACACCCAAGCTCCTGCCTTTATAAGAAATTGCATAACTCTCTTCCTTGCAGACGTGTTACCTTTGGATTACCTACAGTTGAATTCTAGGGCATCTTTCCTCTGGTTCAGTTGCTACTCTTCCCTCTGCCCACAAAGTTCATGGTAAGACAGAACTCACTATGGACACAAGCCAAGCCAGCAGGACCTTCGCCTCTATAAGTGCTGGAGACTGTATTGGGAACTTGAACTAGGAAGTGTTCCTAAAGCACTTCCTGAAACTAAGAATGAAAGTTGTTCCAAGTGCCAGCGTTCCCCTTCCTCTCATGACCCAGAAGGTATGACACACAAGGCTACCATGAAAGATCCTATTGTAGAGTTGCCAGGTGCCAGGTTACTCACGGCGTCTCAGCTGAGCTTTCAAAGGCAGAATGAAAACTCTGAGAGCCAGGGACTAAAGTGATATTCCAAAGAATTCTGCCTCCCAGCACTGGACTTCACTGCTCAAGACAAACACTATCCCTTGCTGTCTTGCTAATCATTTTGTAGATTCTTTTGTTCAATATCCAACACCCACCCACCACACAGCAGCCTTAACACACAGGAGGTGTCCAGTTAATTCTCAAGATTTCAAAATATCAAGAAGATTGAACAAAGCCTCTGCTGGAGGCAGGAGATGGTTCGAGTTCGGGGTGTTTCCCACCTCGAGCCCCTTCTCTCATTCCAGTCACAGGAAGTTTGGGGAGTAGCGCTCCGAGCTCTCGGGCGCGCACCAGAGTGCACTTTGTTCCTTGGCCTCTGGTTTCACAGGGACTTTTCCAACTCCAGAGGCACAAGAAGCAAGGGTTTGTGTGGAGGGTACAGCAACCTCCCACAGGAAGGGAGGGGAATTTAAAATATCAGGTTCTCTTCCCCTGAATACATGGCATAGAAGCTACCCACAGGGCCCGGTTGTGCAGACGAGGCACGCTGCTCTTTTGACAGAAGATTAATGTACACAGGTCCCGACCGGACCCACCAACATCAGGATGCGAACAAGCGCCGCCTCCGTAAGTCCCTAAAGCGCGTGCAATGCAGATGGGTTATGTTTTTAAACTGCATTTTAATTAAACTTCAAAATATCTCCCTAAGAGCTGAAAGACATTTATAGATTGGAATAAACACAAGGTGTGTCACCCTTGAAAAATGGATTGTTTGCTAGAGAGTCCTACTCCCTGCCGAGTCTGCGTAACCTTGGGGGCCTGAAAAGCAAAAACGGTCCTTCCATCTTCCCTTTGAGCAAGATAATTGATGATCTCAGATCACTGGGTTGTCGTTGAAAAACTGCCGGGTAGGGGCTCTTTGGGGGTCTATATTGTACAAAATAAATGCAAAATAATAACAAACCGAGCCACACTTCACTTAGCAAGCCCGTGTCCTATCAGTTTTCCTTTCAGCCATCCCAAAGGCTCCTGAACCCAGGTGTCAGCACAGAATGTAAAATCCCATACCGAAGAGCGGTGGTCTGACCAGCACAACATGAGAAACAGGACGTTGAGCTGCCTGAGAAGGTTTTCAGATGTCTCAAGGAGGGACCCATATTGTCACCTTCCTCTAGAACTAAAGACATATTTTATAACATTTTACAACATTAGAAAGACTACTGTGTCAGAAAGGCTAAATCATCACAGTTGTGGAGTGGATATTCACTGTTGTCTGGAGCCTGCTATGTGTATGCACCAGCTTGATTCGGATTCCTCGTAATCTGTGCAGCACCCAGGAAATGGGATTCTCAGTCTGCTGTGCAGGCTGCGCAAGCCCGCCACAGACTAGAGCTTGCCCGGTCAGTGGAGAAGGAAACAAGTCCACAGCGAGCTTCACCTGACACCGGAGTATCCCGTGGTAAAAGCTGACCCTGACCCATTTCACAGGAAAGCCACGTTCTCGTTGCTTGTCGGTGAATTCGGGGAAATCACGGGTCTGAGAAACACTTCCAGTCACTTGCTTCCTGCTCCACAAAAGCCCTGTCCATTCAGCGTCGGCCTGAGGGGACTCTTCTAAGGCTTGTTACCCCCCCTGTTCCCCCACCCCGTGTATGTGTGTGTGTGTGTGTGTGTGTCTGTCTGTCTGTCTGTCTGTCTGTCTGTTGTCTGTGTGTCTGTGTGTGTGTGTTTGTGTGTGTGTCTGTCTGCTGTCTCTTTTTCTGTTTTTTCTCTGTGTGTGTGTCTGTCTGTGTGCCTGTCTGTGTGCTTGTGTCTGTGTGTCTGTGTGTGTGTGTCTGTCTGTGTGCTTGTGTCTGTGTGTTTGTTT